TGTGGGAAGGTGATGCTGTTGGATTGCAATGCGCAGTTTCAGGGAGTAGAGGGGTAACTGAAGTGGCCAGGATTATGAGGATGTTGAAAAGGGCACCCAATGAGATCTTGGGCTAAGTCTGCACACACAGGTGGCCTATAGGGTGTACCCTGGGGCAGCAGGCAGAAGCAGTCACACAAAGGGTGGGGGACACATCCCTCCCACCACACCATCCTTAACAAAGTACCCTCAGTGTCATTTCTTCTGTGACTGGGGCTGCCTCGATTCATGCCCCATATACCCTAACAGTGAGGCCCACCTGGCCAGCATTCCTACCACCTTGGACACTGCCCTACATATGGGCTCTCCTGTTGCCCTGCTGGTGAACATCGCTTGGTGTGGACAGGAGTGCACACCCTGGCTTGTGGTGCATACTGTTTCCTGCCTCTGGGTGTCTCATCTCCCCAACAAATTGGCACATTCTAGGAAGGACTATGTCTTGCCTTCTCAATTATAATAAAGTATCTCCTATTTATTTGTTCATTTATTCATTTCGCACATATTCATTGTGACAGTCATGGAAACAGGAAAGTAAGCAGAAATGGACATGGCCTCCACAGTTGGGGATATGACAGCCTAGTAGAGGCAGTGACAGTGGAGGGCAAAAATCTTGACCGTGACAATGGAGGAAAAGAGGCAAGAGCCTATTATGGAAGCTCCAATGGGGTAAGAAGTCAGGGAACACTTCCTTGACGAAGTGGTGCTTTTGCTGAGGTCTGAAGGATGCATAGGTTAACAATGAGAGAGTGTGGCCTAGTATATCCCAGACAGAGGGAGCAGCATATGCAAAGGTCCTGTGGCAGAGGCAGCAAGTGAGGACCAGGGACTAAAGGCAAACCAGCAAGGCTAGGTCTCAGCACGTGGAGAGCAAGGTAGTAAAACAGGGGAGAAGGATGTAAACTGAGGCAGATGAGGAAAGCCCAGCCTGAGCAGGTGTTGCACAGCATGTAAAAGCAGGTGGTTTTCATCCAGAAAACAGTGGGAAGACTCTGGAGGCTTTTAAGCTGGCAGGGACAGGAGAAATGACATGATTAGATTTGCATCTTGAAAAGATCACTCCTGCTGCTATGCCGGGAACCAACTGGAAGCTGGCCAAGATAGGGGTGAGGAGATCTACTGGGAGGCCGCAGTGCAGGCCGGGCACTGGAGGTGACCACAGGGTGGAGTGGGGGCATGGTAGAGGGGAGGTGACAGTGTCAGGTGAGATGTAGAGTTCTTAGTAGTGGGTTGTTTGGTGGGAAGGAGGGAGCATGGGGACCAAGGATGATTCTGGGTTTGCTTGTGTGACTGATGAGTGCTGGCACCCTTCACTGAAACAGGTGTGCAGGAAAGAACGGTGCTTGTTGCTCTTTACCACGCAGTGTGCTAAGCACTTTCATGAATCATCTCCCTTGATCCTTCCAACAGTGGCAGGAGTCTGCCTATTACCACCATTTTATGAGCAAGGAAATGAGGCTCAGGGAAACTTAGAAACAATCCCAAGGTTGCATCTAAATGGTGGACTGTGCTTTCTTGCCCCAAAGCCTGTGTTCCGTGGACTGTGTCCTGAGCCACCCCTCTGAGCTGGAACACGTACTTGCAAGAGGAAGGTGTAAGGGCAAGGAGAGAACAAGGGCAGGCTGCAGGCCTGAGACTTTGTCACTTCTGCTTGGAGGCAGGCACAGGAGCTAGACTCGTGTTATTTCACTCTCGGACACAGTTCTAGGCTGCAGGAAGCAAGAGACAGCCATGCCCAGGAAGCTGGTACCAGCTCCCCCTAGGGCAATTCTGCTCAGTGGAAGCTCAGTTCCCCAGGCAGAGAAGTCAGTGAGCACCTCAGGCCCTGAGACCATCCCAACATAATGGTGCGGTGTTCCCTTTCCACCGAGTCGATATTGTGGCTGGCTTGCCCTCTCTGTCCCTGGCTTTTTAAAATGCCACCTGCCTAATTTTCTTTATTGGAACCTAGGAACAAAGACCAAGCCCATAAGGTGAAAAGGTCTCATTATTCACATATTGATCCAAGATTTAATAGAGCAGCAATTGTGTATTATTTGAACTGGAGCATGATATCTTTTTGCTGGCTTGGATTCCCCAGCCAGAGATGCTGCAGGCATGTGAAGACAACAGCGCAATAGCAAGACCTGTGGCTCAACCAGCGATGGCTGGTCACCTGAAAACAGGCTTGTGCATGGGCTGGAGCAGATGTGTCCTGTTGTGCCACCTGTGCCACCTCTGAACCCCCCACAGCACTCCACAGGACAAGAGGCAGGGGGACATTTGGGACATGCATCCCATCCCTCTTCCTGCCCTCCAGACTGGGAGTTGACCAACAACAGCCTTTAACCCAGCCTCGAGTGCCACTGGTCCATGCCACTCCTGTCCCCAGGCTGGATGGGTCTGTGGGTAGAAGACAATACAGCTGTTATGCACTCTGTTCTAGTTTCTTGCATTGCCCCTGGTAGCACAGATGTTCATTCAGCCAGATATTTATAGAGGGCATGTGCCCACCCGCCCTCCTAGCCTCACATCCAGGTGTTGGCTCCTAGAACCTGTGTCATGCAGCTGGTAAGCAGTGTGGCTGCTCCCCCATCCCCGGCAAAGCCTTGTCTCAGGGTCATCCTGCGTTGCCTTCTCTGCCTATTCGAGAGGCATCAGCCCCACTCCCAGAGACATGAACCAGCTTCCTGGAGAGCCATGGGCATCAGCTGGGCACCTGGGCAGGGGAGGGAGTTATCCAGCTCTTCCTGGAAGAAATGGTGGAAGAGATCTGGAAGAAGGGAGCCTCCTAAATCCTGACTGCCCCCAGCAAGCTGGGGTTCTTGGGCAATAGCGAACACTTCCGAGCCTCAGTTTCCTCATCTTTATAATGGAGATGGTGATATCCCCGCCCTCATTCATACTTTGTCGTCAGGGTCCCAGTGCATGGCACATGCCATTGCTCAATAAATGGTAGCAACTGGTCCTCTACTCTCTCGTTATTCCTCGCACCTTCATTTCACTGGGAGGAGGAGAGCATGCTGGGAGGGCGAGCTGTCATCCTACCCTCTAAACAGTAGGAAAATCTTGCTTCTCTGGGAGGACCACACTTACTTTCACACATGTCCCATTTTATTTTATTTTTTTAAGATTTTATTTATTTATTCATGAGAGACACAGAGAGAGAGGCAGAGAAACAGACAGAGGAGAAGCAGGCTCCATGCAGGGAGCCTGATGTGGGACTCGATCCTGGGACTCCAGGATCACAACCTGGACTGAAGGCAGGCGCCAAACTACTAAGCCACCCAGGGATCCCCACATGTCCCATTTTATACAGGATGGTGGGAATTAGCAAGGAAAACAGCCAACTGGCTTCAGTGCTTCCTACCTCTCTCTTTCCCCCCAGCAAGAAAGGTCCACATTAGGTTTTTTGGAGGCCCACCTGATGGGCTTATGGGAGCCCCTGTCCTAGGTGGTAGAACAGTTGTCAGGTGGGGTAGGAGGAATCCCCAGACTAGGTCAGGGAGGTCAGCCCAGGGCTTTTGGCCCCTAATGACACAAGCCCCAGCCTGTCACAGATTTCCAAGCCCAGGCCTGGTACAGAAGTGGCTGGGCCTCTTCCCCCTCTAAGGGACTGTGGGAGCCCAGGAGGGAGAGAAGCACAGCAGTGAGCAGCCCAGACAGCACTCACTGACCCCTTCCCAGATGGGGAACCACACCACCCAAGACCCCAAGCATAGGACCTTCACAAGAGCTGGGTAGATTTCTCTTCTAGCCCCGACAGACAAGAGCTTGAAGCAGATTCCATTTTATTTGGAGAAATAAAAGTGACACTTCTCATACCTGAGTGTCAAACGATAGAAAATGTCTACCCCCCACAAATGTATCACAGCTTTCCTTCTGCTGAGAGCTGAGTCCCACCTCCTGCAGAGCTGGGCTCAGCCACCTGAGCCGGGTGACGACATGTTCTGGGAAGCCAAGTTGGTGACATTTTCCTCTCGGAGGAGAGTGCTTCTTGCTCAGTTGGCAGCCTGCAGAAAAGGCCAAGCTACAGCTCTGGACTTCCCTGGGTGGCGGGAGACAGGAGAGAGCCCCCCAGCCTGGCAGAGACCAGGCAGCTGCCTTGCTGTAGGAAGATTGATTAGCCGGTGGGACAGCTCTCTGAGGAGGACGCACTGTCACTGAATCATCCTCTGCCTGGGTTCGCTGGAAACTCATCTCAGCCCCACGAAGTCTCCCTTTGCTTCCCTGCGGATTTCATTTGGCCTTGCCCAACCCCGCTTGTTGCTATGTGTTTCAGAGAAGCAAGATGGAAATGATGCAGAGGTTAGGAACTTAGGCAACACCATAGAAGGAAAAACGCTGCAGAAATTAGGTTCTGGTTACTTGTGTGTCTGTCTAAAGAAAATAATATAATGGCTCTAGAGTCATACCTAAGTGCATTATTTACCTGCTATGTGAACTGGGGCAAATTTTCAAACTACTCTGACCCCAGATTGCTCACCTGTGAAATGGGCCTAATATTTACATAATAGGATTCCTGGAATCATTCTTTGGGCAACGGGGCATAAAGCTGTCACTGGTGTTTCTCAATCACCTTCTCACCTTGTCAGGCACAGATGTGAGGTTTTTGTGCAGTTATATACAAAAGTGTGTTTTCTGTGTTGAATAATATCATTTCCTGGCTGCATTACCAAGTATTGACACAATCTGCTAAGTCAAGGCCACATCATATTCTGTTGTTTGCCTGGTGATCCAAACAGAATGTAATGGGGATAGTAGTGATGACTTTATATCATGGTGAATGCATGGATGGGTACATCCATTGTGCCCCAAAGCCAGCTACAGATGATCTGTGCCCTCTGAGTTGTGTACTCTGACAGCCTAAAGCTAACACCATCCCCTTGGAAGATGCCAAAGGGCTCCTTGATTAGTTTTCTCAGCCCCTAAGCTGAGGAGGAATTAGCTGAAGTGCTTACATTCCCATGTCCTCTCTCTTGTAGAAAGTCTGCACCAAATGTGGAATTGAGGCCTTCCCTGGCCAGAAGCGGCCTCTGTGGCTATGTAAGATCTGCAGTGAGCAGAGAGAGGTAGGATGCCCAGGGCAACAGGCGGAGGTGGGCTGGGGCAGGTCCGAGCACACTTGCACTTGGGGAAATTCATGAGTGGTCGCTGGAAGGGCCTTCTTTAAAGGCCAAGGAGGACCTACCAAGCATGGCCAAGGAGAAGGGTGGGGAGGGCTAGCCTGAGCTATAGTGGGTGCTTGCCTGTTCCATAGTGGAGAGCTGGCATGCACCTTGGTTCTGCTTTGCCTGGGTTCTGTGGTCTCAGTGGGAAGCCCCTCACACTGTGTAGGTACATGCAGCATTTTGGGCAAGGTTATTATTATTGTAATAGTAATGACTATCCCAGGTTGAGGGTTTACTAAATTTAGTGCCACTGCACTAAATTCTTTACATAAATAAATTTGTTTCATCCTGACACAACCCCATAGGTGGGTGCTATTATTATCCTCTTTTATTGATGGAAAAATGGAGACACAAGAGATTAACTTAGGGGCGCAGTGCTAGTTAGTGGAAGAGCTAGAAACCAAACACAGCCGTGGTCTGCTGTGGGACCAAAGTCCCTTCTGATGCGATGTTTCCATAATTCTAGTTCTGACCCCATTTTAGGAGAAGAAATCAAGGCTCAGTGAGTTCTCTGAGGCAATCATGATCAGGGACTCAAAGTAGGTCTCCTAACCCCAAACCCAGAGCCCTCTTCACTGCACCAGGATCGGGGCTAAAACAGAGCAGGACATTGGCAGGCAGCTTCTCTCTGGAGAGGGTCATGAGATGGGGAGTGTGGTAACAGAACAATCCTGGCACCAGGGAGTAGATCCCCTGCTTTTCCAGATGTGGAGTTATTTTTTCACTTAACTCGCTTGGCAACCAATAATGGGCTTTTAATCTGAGGATCCATAAAAGGTCTTCAGTTATGGGAGATTTTCAGCCGTGCTGTCCTTACATGTTGCTCTCCTGCTAATGCATGTTTCCTCTTCTGGAAGTCCTGTTGGATACTTTGTAGAGCCTCAGTCCATCCTCCTGGAGCTCCCAACAGCTCTTTCCTGTTTCTTTCTTTATCTTGCTGGGATACTTTCTGGAGAGTCTTTAGTTCACTAAAGCTTAGAGGTTAACTCCCAACTGTTGGTTTTGTTGGTTGCCATTCTTAGCGTCTGCTTTCCTCAGGTGTTTTTGGAATTTGCGTTTGTACACTTGAGTGGGAGTCCATCTGTCTCCCTTCCCACCACCTCCACCCAGCTGTCCTTGCGAAAAGATCTTGCGTTTCCTCCACCCAGGTCCCGGGTCCCTCTTCCCACCTCCCATGCCAGTGCAGAGCCAGGTGTCTTGGGTTAGCGATGGGCTGTGTGTCCATAGTGACAGTGCCCAGAGCTAAGCATCACCACGTCAGGCAGCTTAGCCAGGCCCTGGATGTGTGTGTGCTACTTCCAGCTGCCTCAGCGGTCACATTCTTGGTCTTGGGCCAGGAGGCAGTCTCTGCTTTTTTCAGCCTCCTTCTCAAGGTGGGAAATCCCTTCACCAGTTCCCATTTTCAGTGACTCTGGCTCTTGGGCCCCACCCCCCAGGCACCACTTTTAACCCCTGTTCCTTGGAAGGCTGGGCTTTTGGCTTCCTCCATCTGCTTCTGTACCCAGACCCCAGCAGGCCCTGTCTTCAGCCCCTCAAAATAGTAACTTTGGAGTTTCTGATCTATTGGATAGGTAGATAGATCTTATTTTTATTTTTATTTTTTTATTTTTATTTTTTTTATTTTTTTTTATGATAGTCACAGAGAGAGAGAGAGAGAGAGAGGCAGAGACACAGGCAGAGGGAGAAGCAGGCTCCATGCACCAGGAGCCCGACAGGAGCCCGACGTGGGATTCGATCCCGGGTCTCCAGGATCGCGCCCTGAGCCAAAGGCAGGCGCCAAACCGCTGTGCCACCCAGGGATCCCGATAGATCTTTTTTTTTTTTTTTAATTTTTTTTTAATTTTTATTTATTTATTTATGATAGTCACACAGAATGAGAGAGAGAGAGAGGCAGAGACATAGGCAGAGGGAGAAGCAGGCTCCATGCACCGGGAGCCCGACGTGGGATTCGATCCCGGGTCTCCAGGATCGCGCCCTGGGCCAAAGACAGGCACTAAACCACTGCGCCACCCAGGGATCCCCCGATAGATCTTATTTTTAAACACAGATAAGTTTTCTGTTTGTTTTTAGAATATTTTTATCTGTCACTGCTGTGTTTTTGGAACAGAGAAGGTCTTAAGAGTATGGATCAACACTTTGTCTTGCCCAGAGGTGCCTGATTTCTTCTGTCCCTGAAATGGAGATGAAAGCACCAATTTCATAGAGGTGTCATGGAAATTAGGAAGGTCACTGAAGCGTATAAAGTGCACAGAATGTCTGGCCTAGGATAGGTACTTCGTAATATCAGAGGCCTCCCTCTCACCCAGCCAGAAATTCCACCTTGAACCTTCTGGTCTTGGAGGCGGGGGACTCCCTTTTTAAGATGCAGATACCAACTGTCAGGAGAAAGGAAATCCCTCCAGAGAGTATCCTGTGGCAGACACTGAGCAGGATGAAGTGCCGGTCACCCCTCCACCTGCCAAGCTGTGGGAGGACAGAGAGGAAGGAGCTATCCGGGAAAAGGAGGTGGAAGACAAATTTAGCAAACAGAACACTTTAGTGGAGCATTGAGGAGGCAGCTGCCCCTGGCCAGCCCCCCACAGGGTGCCCTCACACCTCTTCACCTTCCTGAGCTGCCACGCACAGGGCCCACCACTGGCCCATCCTAATCTTTAGAGTGCTCTGGTGCCCAGAAAAGTCCAAAATAACTTAGGATGAATTTTCTTATCTCTTCTAAGGCAAAGAATATGAGGCTGTGCATTATGCTATCAGTTTGTCCTTGAATTTCTAGAGGTTGATATAACTTAGCAGGACCAGGAATGGCCCATTTCCTCTCTGCAGCACTGGGCACACGGTGGACAGCTGGGAGGGTGAGTGTGTAGACAGGCTGTGAAAGTGCATGTGTCTAGGCATCTGGGTGCCTGTGGGGACCATACCTGGGTGCTGCATTTCCCTGCCTGCTTTTGGGGTGAGAGAGTGACAGGGTAATTGGTTTTCTCATGCCTTTTTGTCTTAAAAAATTATCTAATCACGACAAGAAGATAGAGCATTTAGAATGTCATTTTAAGTGCTGCACATAGCTGATTCTGAGTCTGTGATAAAAATGTGGTGTTCTGTCCTGCAGCAGAAGCCACATCCAATGGGAGAACTTGAATTTTCCAATGGAAACTCATACTGCTATGCGCAGACACTCCTGTCTATCTTTCCTTTTGATGCTTCCCTTCTGTCCTCTCTGACTGTAATTGTATGTTATTTTTTCTGGATACTGGTTAAATGTCCCAGGGGCTGTCACGTTGGTTTGCTGCCCACCTTATGTACCTCAGTGGTACAGCAGTGCGAACTGCAGCCCCTAATCTTTTTTTTTTTAAGATTTTATTTATTTATTCATGAGAGACACAGAGAGAGAGGCAGAGACACAAGCAGAGGGAGAAGCAGGCTCCCTGCAGGGAGCCTGACATGGGACTCGATCCCAGGTCTCCAGGATCAGGCCCTGGGCTGAAGGCGGTGCTAAACTGCTGAGCCACCCGGGCTGCCATGCAGCCCCTAATCTAATGCATATATTCACATTCAAGCATTCAACACGTATTTATTGAGCATCTTCTATGTTCCAGGCAAAATAACTCTCTTGTGGGGAAAGGAGATCACAGACACCCTAAAGTAAATTCTGGCATGTTACAGATGGTGACAAACTGCTCAGGACAAAGAGCAGGGTGCTGGAAACATTGGTAGCTGCTATATTTTACATGGGAGTCAGTACTGACAAGATGACGTTGGAGACACTATGTGGCTATGTGATCAGAACGTATTCCAAGTGCAGGGTACAGTGAGTGCAAAGGCCCTGAAGTAGGTGTGTCCTTGGTGGGTTTGAGGAGCAGCAAGGAGACCAGTGTGAACTGGATGAGGTCAGAGATATGGCCAGGGTCAGAGCAGGTTGGTCCTTCTAGACCATTGTAAGGACTTTGGATTTTACTCTAAGTGAAATGGGGAACCCATGGAGGGTCTTGAGTAGAGGAGAGACATGACCTGAATCCTCTTCTCCCTCTTTTTATTTTTAATTTTATTTATTTATTTGAGAGAGATGGAGAGAACGAGCACACACACAGAGCGAGAGGGAGAAGCAGGCTCCCCATTGAGCAGGGAGCCCAATGCAGGGGTTGATCCCAGGACCCTGAGATCACGACCTGAGCAGAGGGTAGATGCAACTGAGCCACCCAGGTGCCCCTCCTCTCCCTCTTTTTAAAGGATGCTCTGGCTATATTGTTTTGAGAATAAATCATGTACAATAATGTCAGTGTTTCATCTCTCCTAATCATGTTATTTAAGTTCTTCTTTTTTTTTAATTTTTTATTTATTTATGATAGGCACACAGTGAGAGAGAGAGAGGCAGAGACACAGGCAGAGGGAGAAGCAGGCTCCATGCACCGGGAGCCCCACGTGGGATTCGATCCTGGATCTCCAGGATCGTGCCCTGGGCCAAAGGCAGGCGCTAAACCACTGTGCCACCCAGGGATCCCATATGTATATTTCTTTTTTTTTTTTAAATTTTTATTTATGTTATTTAAGTTCTTAGCTGTTGTTACTCTCAGAAGTTTTCGTTTTAAAAAAATTTTTTAGGGGACGCCTGGGTGGCTCAGCTGTTGAGTGTCTGCCTTTGGCTCAGCGTGTGATCCTGGATTCCTAGGATCGAGTCCCACATTGGGCTCCTTGCATAGAGCCTGCTTCTCTCTCTGCCTGTGTCTCTGCCTCTGCCTCTGTGTCTCTCATGAATAAATAAATAAAATCTTTAAAAAATAATAAAAATAATAAATTTTTTAAAAATTAAAAGTCTTTTTTATTTTTAAATGACCTCTTTCCCCATTGCAGGGCTCAAACTCACACCCCTGAGATCAGGAGTTACATGCTCTACTGACTCAGCCAGCCAG